TCCTAACATGAAAAATAATATTTTGAGCTTGGGACAATTATTGGAGAAAGGATATGACATCGACTTAAAAGAACATAGTCTTTTCTTAAGAGATTGTGGGCATAACTTGATTGCTAAGGTGCCTATGTCAAAGAATAGAATGTTCCTCTTGAACATTCAAAATGATGTGGCAAAGTGTCTCAAGGCTTGCTATACCGACTCTTCATGGCTATGGCATCTACGATTTGGACACCTCAACTTCGGTAGTCTAGAATGTTTGTCAAAGAAGGAGATGGTGAGAGGCTTGCCTAGTATAAACCACCCAGACCAACTATGTGAAGGATGTCTAATTGGGAAGCAATTCCGGAAAAGCTTTCCAAAGGAATCAACATCAAGAGCGACAAAACCACTAGAGCTCATACACACTGATGTCTGTGGACCAATCAATCCAAACTCTTTTGGTAAGAATACATATTTTCTCCTCTTTATTGATGATTATTCTAGAAAAATGTGGGTTTATTTCTTGAAGGAGAAGTCAGAAGTGTTTGAAAATTTTAAGAAGTTCAAAGCCCTTGTGGAGAAAGAAAGTGGTCTTTCTATTAAGGCTGTGAGATCTGACCGAGGAGGCGAGTTTACTTCAAATGAGTTCAACAAATATTGTGAAGAGCATGGGATCCGCCGCTTACTAACAGTGCCAAGATCGCCACAACAAAATGGAGTAGTGGAGAGAAAGAATCGGACCATACTTAATATGGTGCAAAGCATGCTTAAGAGTAAAAAGATGCCGAAAGAGTTTTGGGCCGAAGCAGTGGCATGTGCGGTTTACCTGACAAACCGTTCCCCAACAAGAAGTGTGCATGAGAAGACACCACAAGAAGCATGGAGTGGAAGGAAGCCAGGGATCTCTCACCTCAAAGTGTTTGGAAGCATTGCATATACCCACGTTCCAGATGAAAGGAGAACAAAGCTCGATGATAAAAGTGAGAAGTATGTATTTGTGGGTTACGACTCAAGCTCCAAAGGATACAAGCTCTATAATCCAAATAGTGGAAAGATTGTCATAAGTCGTGACGTGGAGTTCGAAGAAGAAGATTGTTGGAATTGGAGTATTCAAGAAGACAGGTATGATTTTCTTCCTTATTTTGAAGAAGAAGAAGATGAAATGGAACAACCAATGATAGATGAACATATTACACCACCTGCCTCACCAACACCAAGGTTGGATGAAGCAAGCTCAAGTGAGAGGACACCACGATTAAGGAGCATTGAAGAGCTTTATGAGGTAACCGAAAACCAAAATGACATTAACCTCTTTTGTCTTTTTGGTGATTGCGAGCCTCTAAGCTATCAAGAAGCTGTTGAAAATGTAAAGTGGAGAGACGCCATGGATGAAGAAATAAAGTCAATCACGAAGAATGATACATGGGAACTTACTACACTTCCACGAGGACACAAAGCAATCGGAGTAAGATGGGTGTACAAGGCGAAGAAGAATGTAAAAGGAGACGTGGAGAGATACAAAGCAAGACTGGTGGCAAAAGGCTATAGTCAAAGACAAGGAATTGACTATGATGAGGTATTTTCCCCCGTTGCTCGTCTTGAAACTATTAGACTGATCATTTCTTTGGCAGCCCTGAATGAATGGAAGATCTATCAAATGGATGTGAAGTCGGCCTTCTTGAATGGTTTTCTCGAAGAAGAAGTTTATATCGATCAACCACAAGGATATGAAGTAAAAGGGCAAGAAGAAAAAGTCCTCAAGTTGAAAAAGGCGTTGTACGGACTCAAGCAAGCACCGAGAGCTTGGAATGTTCGAATCGACAAGTACTTTCGAGACAAGAACTTCATCAAGTGTCCATATGAGCATGCACTCTATATTAAAGTGCAAAGTGAAGATATTTTGATCGTGTGCTTATATGTTGATGACTTGATCTTCACTGGGAACAATCTAAGCATGTTCGAAGAGTTCAAGAAAGACATGTCAAATGAATTTGAGATGATAGATATGGGGCTCATGGCATATTATCTTGGCATTGAAGTAAAGCAAGAAGACAAAGGAATTTTTATCACCCAAGAAGGCTATACAAAAGAAGTCCTTAAGAAGTTCAAGATGGATGATGCCAATCCGGTTGGCACCCCGATGGAATGTGGCAGCAAGTTGAGTAAGCATGAAAATGGAGAGATTGTGGATCCAACTCTTTACAAAAGTTTGGTTGGAAGTCTGCGTTACTTGACAAGTACAAGGCCGGATATTCTCTATGCTGTAGGAGTTGTAAGTCGTTACATGGAAGCTCCAACAACAACTCACTTCAAGGCGGCAAAGAGAATCCTTCGATATATCAAAGGTACAACAAACTTTGGCTTACACTATTACTCTTCTAACAATCATGAAATTGTTGGCTATAGTGATAGCAATTGGAGTGGAGACGTGGACGATAGAAAGAGCACTACTGGTTTTGTATTCTTTATGGGAGATACTGCTTTCACTTGGATGTCAAAGAAACAACCTATCGTCACACTGTCAACTTGTGAAGCTGAATATGTCGCCGCTACATCATGTGTTTGCCATGCAGTTTGGCTAAGGAACTTGTTGAAAGAGTTAAAAATGCCACAAGAAGATCCTATGGAAATATGTGTTGACAATAAATCAGCACTTGCTTTGGCAAAGAATCCTGTATTTCATGAAAGAAGTAAACACATCGACACCCGTTACCACTTTGTAAGAGAATGCATCGAGAAGAAGGATGTGAGGTTGAAGTATGTGATGTCTCGAGATCAAGCTGCCGACATTTTCACCAAGCCACTCAAGTTGGAAACGTTCATAAAGCTAAGGAGTATGCTTGGAGTCACAAATCAAGTTTAAGGGGGGATGTTGAAAGATTAAACTTGATTTGGGCCTAAAATATTATTTGGATTTTTGGGCTTAGTTGTTTTGGACTTAGGTAATTTTAATTAATATTTCTAGAAAACTCTTGTAATGTTTGGAGTGTCTAGATATTTCTTAAGGTTGTAGTATTCTCTAGAATACTCTTGGAATTCCTAGAGTTAGAACTCTCTAGAATTAGTGTGTCTAGAGTTCTCCTTAGAGTACTATAAATAGAGATGTAATTCTACACTTTTGCATCAAGCAAAATACAAAGTTCTCTCTTCCATAAATAATTCTTCCACCTACCAAGTTTCTCTTTAAGCCTCTAATATTCCCACACATTTTTCCTAAACACAAAAGATCTTATTTCCAACATAATTGTTGAGAATTATGTTGCAATTTGTAGGTTCAATTTAGAATTAGGGGAATATTTCTTGAATCCAGTTTACAAGACCGTGAATTGATAGGAGAGAGTGTCATGAACTACCTCCGTCGTCACCGTCCAGAAGGCCATGGTGCGGCAAAATTAATGCTTTTTTCTGGCATCGCGAGCGAGAAGAAAGAGGTGTTGTGCGTGCAACATGGTTAGCAAAGAGAGGGGTAGCGATGAGGAAGAAGTTATCTGGGTGTGAGAAAAGAGGACGAAGGATTGTATTTGTGCTGAAAGAGAAATTGACCTTTGTCTACTATCAACCCTTCAAAATTCAATTGCATGCTTTGATGATACTGCCCTTCTAAGTATTTTACTTTACACTACCATTTGGATATTTTGGTAATTAACAAATCACTTAATCAATATTGACCAAAGCCTCTACTTTGATGCCAAATGTCCATCAACAATTGGCATCTTCAAAATTTCCCCCCCTTCCCACCAAACCAATTCACACGTCTAACCTGTTTGATTTTTCAAATCCCTCTTCTTCTCTCTTTCTCATATCTCTAATCTCTTCTTTTCTCTCATTCCCATTTTCTCTCTACCGTTTCATCAGTTTTTCCCATAAACCCTAAATCTGTCGTCACCTTCCTTTCTTAGATCCCTATTCCCCTGTCTTTCTCATATCTTTGTCATATCTCTAATCCTCTCTCTTTCTCTCATTTCTCGTCTATCATTCTTTTGTATCTGTGTTAAAGATTTCAAAGTTTGATTCTTTTAAAGAACACTTTTCTAGGTTTTTGATGTTTTTGAGGGTTTTGTAATTTTAAGAATGGCTACTACTATTACTTCTAGTATTGTTGGTGATAACAGATCTGGTTTTTCATGGATGCAATTTTGGAAGAAAGAAAAAAAAACAAAATAAGATGAACAAAGTTAGGGTTTGTTGTTCATCTTCTTTTTCTTCTGTGAGGGTATCTTACACTTTTTCTCTCAAAATTGAGTTTCATTTAGATTTATGTATTTTAATTTTGATTGTTTTTTTGTATAAATATTGAATAGTTGGGTTTTATTTGTGTTTTAGTATCATTCAGATGTTGGCCATATTGGTTTTAATAATGTGAAGTCGTAGAGCGAATGAGGTGTGTGTAATTTTATATCATCGTTGATTTTACATTACTTAACTTTTTCATTTAGTTTTGGATGTATTTGAATGCAAAAGTGGATCAAGCTCTATTGTTCATGATTGATGTTATTATAATTTTGTTTGTTTGTGTTTTTTATTTTATTATGTGGAGCTCTCTTTCTTATCTTTAGTGTGTGATTTTTTTTTTTTATTCTTGAAGATAACTTCGTGTTTATGGTACAACATTCATGGCCTCATACGGGGTGAGAATATGGAGATGGGGTGTGATTCTGATACTGGTGTGATTTTATTTTATTATGTAGTGCTTCTGTTATTGTTTTCCTTTTGGTTTTTATTTTTTTCGTTAAAAATCTGTTAACTGTTAACTTTTTCTGTTTCTAATTCTGTGACATTGAATGCGTTCAGGGAGAGGAGAGCCCTAGTTTTGACATTGAGTGACACCAAAATGGCAGGGAACAAACTTCACCGAATGCTCAATTTTTTAGTTGCCATTTTCATACTGGTTATTTGGCTCTTGATAGGAAATTGCCACCAACAAATTTCTTCTTTTTGTGAGCTCACAACTTGTCTTGGTTGCATTTATATTCGGTAACACCTGCAAGACCTTCTTTGAAGCAATCATATTTTTATTTGTTATGCAACCATTTGATGTGGGAGATAGATGTGAAATTGATACAGTTCAGGTAATGTTTATATCTCTATGAGCTTAGAGATTGTCTTCTTGCAATGCAAACATAATCTAATTGTATCCGTCTGTAATTTTTGTTCTCTTATTTCAGATGGTTGTAGAAGAAATGAACATATTGACTACGGTATTTCTAAGATACGATAATCTAAAGATAACGATCCCTAATAGTGTCCTTGCTACTAAGGCTACACAAAATTCTACCATAGTCCTGACGTGGGAGACAGGATTGAATTATGTATCCAAATAGCTACTCCGCTCGAAAATATTTCACTTATGAAACATAAAATACATAAGTATGTATTTCCACGTCTCTCTCCTTTATTACGTATGCATATTTATTGTTACATATATCTAAGCTAAAACCGTTAATGACTCTAATGCAGTTACGTTGATAATAAGAAGGAACACTGGCATCCTTCGCCTTTTATAGTCTTGAAGGATCACAAGCAATTGAACATGGTGAGAGTCTTAAAGGAATGCAGATATGTTTGATCTTTTGGAATTCGTGTTTGGTTTCTAGGCTTGTAATGACTATAATCTATTTGTTGCTGTTTATCAAGAGCACATGGTGTGTTGTAAAATATTGATTTTTTGGATGCTAGAAATCTAACCTTACCTTGACTTTGATTGAGTTTTTGAATTGCAAACTTTGCTGATTGGACTTAGAAGGAGTTCAGAAGTCATAGACTTTGTGCTGCTCGAAATTTCTTTGCCACTCTAAAGGGGAACCATAAGATTACCGATGCTAATCTTCCTGGAGAGGTATGTATGGAAGTATGGATGTTTCAATTGTTGTATTATGTCAAATTATTATCGGTATTGATGTGTCTGTAGTATATGTGTGTGAGATAATGTATGTGTTGATGCTACATATATAAACACACCTTTAATATGAAGTTGAATTGATGCTATATAAACTATTACTACTTATATTGTAGATGTTGTGTTCGTGTTTGATATTATGAAGTGCTATTTTAGTTTGAACTTGTGTTGATTGTGAAATGCTTACCAAGTTAGTTTCAATCTTAACACCAATTCATTTTATGTTTTCACTTCATTGTATTTACTATTGTTTTGATTGTAGCTTTTTGACAAGGCATTTGACAAATGTGAGTTGTGGAATTTTCAGTATTTGTATCTGTATGAATATAGTTTCTATGTGGATTATAGTTGGCGGAGTTATGGCTTTTCTGACTCTTCATGAAATGCTGCTATTGACTTTTGATGATGCTGGATGATAGAACAGAGGTATATAATAAAGAAAAGTATTTTATTAATTAATATGAAAGTAAAATAAATTCCAGAGCTATTGCTCCTCAGTCAGAGAAACTATTCTCTCACTGCCCAAACTCTAAGGTCAAAAACAGAAAATCAATCAATGCCTCCCTACTGCCCCATACACTCCTTTTTATATGGAGAATAATCCCTAAACTAACTCCTATTTATATGGAGAATAATACCTAAACTAACTCCTATTTATTTGTGGAGTTTTCTATTCTTTCTCACATATACCCTCCATTGTTTAGGTCCAATAATATCTCTATTAACTAACACATTCCCATCATCATTTGTGGGATCCGATCCATTCCTATCATCACCCCCACCTACAACATTAGCCTTGTCCTCAAGGCGCATATCAGGGAATTGACTCTTCAGCAATCCTTCCAACTCCTTAGTCTGTTGATCAGAGACACACGACACCGGTGACCCTAACACCTCCATCAAGGTAGGCCATTCACAGCCGGCTATCATTCGAGAAGGAGTGATAATGCTTTGGAAAGTAGCCATCTTATCATCTACAGCCTGACCAAGTAGTTTCACCATACTGCCTTTATGGTTGAACTCCATAGACATTTCTTTCCAATCCATGGTCACCTTCCCCAAAGTTTCTAGCCACACAACTCCTAAAATCAAATCCACACCTCCTAACTCCAACACATAAGCATCAAAGCAAATCTGCACTGATCCCACTTTCATCTGAATTCCATTGCATCTACCCTTAGTTAGGACACGATGACCATCTCCTAACTTAACACCCAAAGGATTAGAAGGCACCATAGACAATCCCAGGGCTTCAACCACCTTAGGTGATATGAAATTATGTGTGGCTCCACTGTCAATAAGTACCAGAATTAATGCACCTTGTAAACATCCCTCCAATTTCATCCTCCGGACCTGATTTGGATTAGTGGATACACCAAACAGCCCCATGGTTTTACATTCTAATTCCTCTTGTGTGAGCTCTTCTTCCGTCGCAGCCTCCAACACCACAATCTCTCCTGCATCGTTAACAATTTCGTCATCCCCCAAGATAATCACTCGTAACTGTCTTGTTGCACATTGATGGAGAGGATCCCATCGTTCGTTGCAACGAAAACAGAGTCCTTTCGCACGACGCTCATTAACCTCTGCACTTGGTAGATGGCGAACACCACGAGATTGACGGTGTGAATTGTCACCTAAATTTGGGCGAGAAGATGTTGTAGAATTGGTAGGACGTGTTGAGACGGTTTGAGATCCAGAATCCGAACCAGTCCGCGTTTGGCCCAAAGAATTATTAGGCTGGGTCTGAGTTGCAGATCCGTTCCCTTCCCCTTCGCGAAAAGCCCAATTAGGCTTTTGAGATTTTGTCCAAGAACCATGACCCGGTTTGTAACGTGCTTCAGAACCCTGTCCAGAAGCCACTGCAAATTCACTTTCAACATCACGAGCCAATTGCATTGCTAGGTAACGGTTGCGAGGCTTGAAGGTACGCACACGAGAACGAATATCATGACGTAAACCACCAATGAAATAACCTAGAAACTGTTGTTCTGGTAAACGACCACACTGTGAAGAATACAGTTCGAATTCAGCAATATATTCCTCTACGGATCCCGATTGTTTTAGTTCCTTTAATTCCTCAAACGGATTCTCCAAACGCCCACCTCCAAATCGAACCATCATCGCCTCATGGAGGTTCTCCCATGACACTTCCTCTGTTGAATCATGCCATAGATTAAACCAATGGATAGTAGGGCCTTCCATACTCAATTTGGTCAACTGAATACGAACATCCTGCGAAATTCGTTGTACCTCAAAGTATGTCTCTGCCCGAGTGATCCATGCAACCGGATCGTCACCGGTAAATGCCGGCAACTCCACCTTCTTCGCAGATAAACGAAACTCATCCAGCGGTGAGGAAACTGTCGCACTGCTTGGCTGCGGAACTTCACGATGAGCCATTGCACGTTGAATCTCAGCACCAATGAACTCTCGTAACGCAGCAATGCTAGCCTCGACACGTTCCAACCTTTCTTCCACTGCAGAAATACGGTCAGCCATCTTAGGAGCTTTGGGCATGAACAATGGTAGGTCGGACCAATTGATAGAACAGAGGTATATAATAAAGAAAAGTATTTTATTAATTAATATGAAAGTAAAATAAATTCCAGAGCTATTGCTCCTCAGTCAGAGAAACTATTCTCTCACTGCCCAAACCCTAAGGTCAAAAACAGAAAATCAATCAATGCCTCCCTACTGCCCCATACACTCCTTTTTATATGGAGAATAATCCCTAAACTAACTCCTATTTATATGGAGAATAATACCTAAACTAACTCCTATTTATTTGTGGAGTTTTCTATTCTTTCTCACATATACCCTCCATTGTTTAGGTCCAATAATATCTCTATTAACTAACACATTCCCATCATCATTTGTGGGATCCGATCCATTCCTATCACTGGACATAACCAATTTGTTAAAGCTGGATTTTTTGGGATGACTTTCATGTCTGCAAGGTTGTAATCTCATTTCTAATTAAATTTTAATGATATATAATAATATTGTTTGCTTATTTTGGAGAGAAAATATTCATTGTGCCATAGTGTATTAAACTGAGTATGTAATCATGCATGTTAGCAACTATTATGTGATACATTATAACTAGATCTAGATTTTTTGCTAATGCCAAAGATTCGGTACTATAATTTGGTCTGTGAATAGATTGAGATCAAATAAAAAACCACACCTTGATGAAGATAGTAGATTTAATGTAATGCAAGGAGTTTTTATCTGTCCTGATTTACAGAATTGTTGCAGTCACTTTATCTGGATCTGTTGTGAGTTGTGTGTTCGTTCTTGGTGCAGTGTTAGGCTCTAAGTAATGGATGAAGGCTTCATCCCCAATATTTCAGTACCAGATCTCATGAATAATAACAATTTGGTATATTTCTCATACTGATATAACAGTTAGCTGATGTTCAATTTTCCAACTTCTAACTTTATTACTTGTATCTTCTTATAATGCAGTAGTCTGGTCCTCACTTGAATAATTGATGAATTCAATTGATACATTATATTATACTTTACATATATTTTGCTATCATTTTATTATACTCAAGTTTGAAGAGGGAATGCCATCTCCGGCCATTTCGCAAGCACTATCACTCAATTTTGGTTCACATGGGGAATTTGAAGACATATCTGTCTCCTCTGTCAAGGATGTCATAACTATTGGGCAGATGTTATATCTTAAGGATGTTAGTTTATTACATTTACAAATACCATATGTTTATTTTTACAATGTTACAATCATTTGATGTTTGTCTTATGTTTTACGTAGGAAACTTTCTGCAATACCTACGGTACTACAAAAAAATCAACCAAAATCGTTTGTCCTGGTATTATGAGATTTGTTCAACATGTAACAAAACCAATAAATCACCTAGGAACTCATTCGATTGCAATTACTCTGACACTAAGTATACCCCAATAACAAAGTAAACTTTACATGCCCTATCAAACTAACAACTATGAAATTAATTTCAGTACTTTTGACTTCCAAAATAGTATTGGCTTTAATATCATTTGTTATGTCTTAGGTTTAAAATTATGATCGAAGTTGAGCATGAAAATAAGGTCGGCAATTTTGTGTTTTCGGATAAGGAATGTATACCAATCATATGTTGGTATGTCTGCTCATGGTCTGCGACAACTTATGAACCAGGTTCTTTTCTTATTTTCTCTCTTTGATTTTCACCCTTTCTGTTTTGACTTTTGTCTGATTTTCACCCTTGCTGCCAATAACCTTTGTTACATGCTGCCAAAAACAACACTATATGTTTATCTTGGTTTTGCATTCTGTCAATATTCCCAATTTAGGCATATTTGTCTACTAAAATTTATTATGTCACATGTGTCTAACTGTATGTTGTCCATAGCTATATGTAATAATTGTTTCGAAATTTTTGGTTTTACAATCTT